CACTTTTCTGTTGTCGATCCCCCAGGGAGGGGGGTTATATGTAGATCCTTGTCATCGGTTCCCCTGGATATTCTTTCTTTAGGGAGAGAAGCTAAGCACATTATCCTGAGAACATCTCTTTGCATCCCAAAAGTGGGAAGCAGGACAAGAATCTGCGCAATCCAATCTTGACTAAATCACCAAACTAGCTTTCTGACGCCCTCCAGTTTAACTTCACCCATCAGGCAATAAGCACCTTCCAAAAAAGGGTAAATGGTGCCTTCCCCAGCTGACTCGTGTTGCAGAATATCAAGTATATTCTTCAAAAATCACAACATACTTAAACAATTTCCTGTCTCTCTCTTCAATACTCTAAAGACACTGCAGAAGAGAGCTCTCCTCCTCGGAACACTTTCTTTGTATACAATCTACCTAACACTACTATTTTAGGCCACTACATTTTTTTATTACCCCTTCGTAGGTCCTCTGTAACTTAAAGAGTCTATCCCTGTTGCTGCTTTCCTATCAGGAGGCAAATGTAGAACCTACGTCATCCAAAATAACCCAAGTTAAAATGTCACAAATAATCTACCGTTCGGTAGTTCCAGTGACCTTGCAAATTGTGAATTCCTATATTCTTTCACTTTGTTCTTATCTGTTGAAAAAGTAGTACATGTAAGAGGAGACAATGGCTCATAGCAGATCAAACAAAGTAGGGTTGGAACCTTGAAAGCCAGGATTAAAGAGATACAATGAAGGCAGAGAAAAGAAAGTAGAAACACAGTTAAGCCCAGTCATGACTAAGTATTTTCCAAATGTTTCTAGTTCTGCCAAGTAATCTATTTTCAGACACCAAGTGCAACCAGAACCGTCCAGAAATGACATTTTGAAGTTTTTAAAACATCAGGATCCTTCGCTTTTTCTCCGTCAAATCCTATTTTACCTGCTATCCTGGTATTTAGAACACAAATGAGAAAAAGAAGCAGTCTGATTTTAAAAGGACTGAGAACTTTAAAAGCCCTGACTACTTGGCCTGTCCCATCTGAGATGGGATTCCACAGAACAATTTGAGAATGCAATTATCTAGAAGAATCCTCAAAGTCAAAGGAGGAGAGGCTGAACAAAGAGCCTCTGGAGTTAACACAGATAGAGAGCCAGAATGTTCCAGTTAGCTAGACTCCAACTACGCACAGGCAAGATTATCTATTGCAACTTAAGCGTACTGAATCACTAAGATGATCAGTATGTATTAATACATTCAAAACATGCATTCATACAGCAAACAACTTTCACTTCAAAACTTATGTTTGAGAGTACCTTTCTCGAAAGCATATGCACATATTTTTATTTAACATTTTTAAATATTCAAATTAAAAATTTTTTAATTAAAAATGTTTTATAAAAAAACAAAAACCCACACTTTAGGAATTTTGGAAACTTCTGAAAACCTTTGAAAAGTGACAGTAACTTAGTCTTTCATTTATTTTTACACCCTGCTAGGAAGCAGAGTATGATTGTTTTTGTAATGAAGAAACCCAATGGAAAGCAGCACAGGGTAGAACACAGTGCTCCGGGATCATCTCACTACTTTATATACCTATACAGACAGAATATTTGAGTGGAAAATTAGTATCATGAGAACCAGAGACTGGAAAAAAATCCCCTCCTCAAACTGGTATTTTAGGAGAAGATCCACTGAGATGACAAGAGATCAGACTGATTTTGAAGACTGGGTGGGACTTGAGTTGCAAAGTCTGCAAGAAAGAGGGAGCTTTGCAGGCCATAAAGACTGCACAAACAGAACCAGGAGAGCCTGGAAAGCCAAAGGTAACACTTTGGGAATAATGCTGAGTGAACACACGAGCAGCAGTGACTGCTGGCTTTGATACTTAAAATCAATGTAAGAGAAAAACTTTATTTAGGGGAGAAATAGAAATTATCTTGAACGTACAGCTGATAAGCAAATCATCTGATTAGCATGGACATGTTCTATATTGGTCTTACTGACCAGAAACCCAAAATCCAAACCCACTGCCATTGAGTCCATTCCAATTCACAGGACCCTCTAAGAGTAGAACTGCCTCCGTGGATTTCTAGAATGTAACTGTTCACAAGAATAGAAAGGCTTATCTTTTCTCCCTCGGAGTGGTTGGTGGTTTCGAACTGCTGACCATAGGACATCACAAATTACACAGTCTGATTCTTCTTTACCTGTTTCTCAGGCCTGTTCCATTGCCACAGCCCCCACCAACCAAAGTCTGTAAAGACGGTAAAGCAGAACGGCTTAGCTGCTGCCGGCTAGGGCCCCTCCTTCCACCGGGCATGTCCGGGAACCAGTCTGCTTCCAGCGCCACCTGTAGCTGCAACCCAGGTTAATGGTTGCCAATCTGCTCCAACTCTGAACAAAAGCAAAAAATTCCTGTCAGTTTATTATTATTTTTTTAATCATTTTATTGGGAGCTCTTACAGCTCTTATCACAATTCACATAACCATCCACTGTGTCAAGCATATTTGTACATATGTTGTCATCATTATTTTCAAAACATTTCTTTCTACTTGAGCCCTTGGTATCAGGTATCAGCTCCTCTTTTTTCCCTCCCCCCTTCACCCTTGAAAATTTATAAAAATTTTTTTCATGTCTTTCACCAACTGCTGCCTCCCTTCACCCATTTTTCTGTTGTTCATCCCCCTAGTTTATTATTTCTAAGGGGTCAATTTAATGAAATAAGCAGAAAAACTATGAACAGGCCTTGTAAAACTAGGTTTTCAAACAAATGTTCTGAGTGCCTCTTATCCACTTTATTCCAATGAGAGAATTACTCAGACCTTAGGGATCAGAGCCTTGCTTCTAATCCGAACTGTGCAGCATCAGAAAAGTCACTATTTGTGTCCTTTATCTTGTCTCACATATAGGATATTACTACAATCAGATGACAATGTATAAGAAACTCTACAACATATATATTTTCCAATCTTTTTTTTCATATATACTTTCAATTCAAGTGTAATAGTTCATGGTAAATCAGTTTAAATAAAGAACTATTTCCACAAAGCTAGAGTTCATGATCAAGACATGGGGGATCTAAAATTAAATGCATCACCTATTATCTGACCTTCACCGATGCTGCTTCTTCACAGGGAAAAAAAGCAAACCACTGTCATACAAAGATGGTTATTAGGGCTGACAAAAACGAATGAAAATACACCTTTAACTCTTTAAAAGTAAAACTCTTTGACTGGCATCGCCATATGTTAGGATGAAAATACTGAAAAGAATGGATGGATGCTCACCCCAGAAAAAGGTAAGCAAGATCACTTAGAAATTGCTAAAACTGCAGACTAAACAGGTAAGCAACATTGCAACGCGTATTGATCAGAAAGTGTGTTTCCTCGGTCCATGGCAAAATCACAGTTCCACCAATATGGATACCAAATCCGTTTCCTAAACAATACGGCCAATCACCGAAGAACGACACCCTGGAAAAACCCTAGTTTTCAAACCGTTACAGCAGACTGATCCGATGTTCCCCATTTTTAACAACCTTTGGCTCTAGATTAACAAACCCGAGTGAAATACAGCATTCAGCTGCTGCAGGTCGATGCTGCTGCTCTGGTTCAACTAAAGAGCAGAGAGATGTAAGGCAAAATGCTAGGATGAAAGAGGCCCGAGTGCGGGGCGGGGGTTGTGGATGGAGAAAGACGGCCCCGCAGAGAGGACGACAAAGCGGGCCCCCAGCCCTCGAGGACCAAAGCGGCCCAAGACTGTCGGATAGCGCGGCAGCTCGCTAATACTCACGCATGGAGGAGGCCCGGACGGTGGGGCGGGATCCCTGCACAGAGGCGGCGGCTTTACAGGCTGGACCCTGGGCAAGAAAATTCCCGCTCCGCTTTCAGGTGCCCCAAACCAGCTGCTTGTCCGCAGGCTGTCGCTACCCGGAGAGTCGTGAAAGGCTGTACAGGGTTTGGGCTCCCCGATTCAGACCCCAACACCGAGCCAGGGCGAAATCCGCGCCAGACCGTCTTGAAGTCAGAGGCAGAGCCCAGCCCAGGCAGCGCTCATCCTCACCTCCATTACCGCGGAGCTGAGCAGACGTGGCAGCGCACGGCGATGACGTCACCTCCGCGACAGCGCCGGCCCAGACGCTCGTGACCCCCGGAACCACACTGGCAGTCCGGAGCGCAGGCCCCGCCTCTCCCCTCCCTGCCCCGCCCCCTTCCGGCGCACCTGCGCAGAAGGACTAGCCTGCTCCTCGGCTCGGAAGCTCTCCTCCTCGACCGTACTAGCGAGGGTTAACGCTATCTCCTTTCCCGCCTGTGATGGAGCGGTGCAGGTACCCTTGGAAGGAGCTTTTTGTTTTCTCATAGATTACAAGTAATAACCGCGCACAGGTTTCTCGCCCCTATTTTGCAAATAGGGATGATTAAGAGGCGACACTGCTAAATAAAGGAGCCACAGCCGTGCTTCAGCATCCCAACACGCGCTTCCTGTATGTTAGTAAAGGCTTCGATGTACCACAAAGAGTTTACAATCCAGCGGGAGAGACATGCAACATTTAAAGTATGCTTCATATCCAGGGATAGCACGGACGATGATGTGATTACGGATTGAAGTGTTGTCAAAAGGGTTTCTCAGGATGCTTGGAGTGTATTTAAAAACAAAAATCACACACACACACACACCTCCCCCCCACCCCCCCACCCCAAGACTCCAAAGACGAATAGGCGATTACTTGGTGGGCACGTGGGAGAATAGCTTTGTGCATTGGAAGCGGCACATACGGAGGTAGGGGGCAGGCAACATCATTAAATTCAAGAACTGCCCATTGTTTGATATTAGGAGAAGAGTTGGGGGATCCAAGATGTGTGAGATGTATCACTTCATAGATTTCCAGTGCCTTAAGAGAAAGCCATGCGTATTGATTACATGGTTATTACGTTGTTCATTGCCCAGACTGCTGGGCATAGCAGAGCGCAACGTGCACGCTCGCTCTGCTACCATCTTCATAATGGTATGTTTTGAGTTCTTTGTTGTGGCTATTGGGCAGTGCCTCCCAACCTGGAGGACTCATCCTCCAGTACTATATTGACAAAATTCTGTCATGATCCAGAAAGCGTTCGTTGACTAATTTTTGGAAGTAGATTACCAGGCCTTTCATCTAGTCTTTTAGTCTGGACACTCTGCTGGAACTTGTCTACCATGGTTGACCCAGATGGAATCTGAAATACCCGAAGCATAGCGTCCAGCACCAGCAGCAGAGCCACACATAAACCACATGTGATAAACTGACAGGTGGTTAACCCTTACTGAGATTTGTATGTGTACATATTGCTAGACACCAGTCTAGGAGCATTACCTATCTCATTGAAATCTCACAAGAAGTTGGCATGTACCGTCATTATTTCATTTTACAAAGGAAACTGAATTAAAGACGTTGAGTTCCAAATACCTAGTAAATCAGTGGTGATGTGCTGGTTTACATGTTGGAGTGCTTTCAGAAAGGTGAACAGAAGGAACGCACCAGCTGCACTGGGAAAAGCGGAGGCTGTCTGCTCCTGTAAAGATTTATAGCCATGGAAACCCACACCAGTATTCTACTCTGCTCCCCAGGGTAAATGTGAGTTGGAATTAACTCAGTGGCAGTGGGTTTACTAAACTTAATAAGTGGCAGAGCTGGAATATAGGGCCAGCCTGGCCCATATAAAAACCAAATCAATATTCCTAAATATTCCACGTGTACCTAGTATCCTACAAGCTTTTTTTTTTTTAATTTACAAAATCCAATGTAGATCTCTCCATTTTTTATTGATGGTTCCTGAATCATCAATAATTGCACATAGATCCTTCAACGTTGACATGGGAGTCTTGAATAATTGAATCATTTAAAATTTATTTTTCAGCTTGAGAAATGCTGAGCATGTTTTTCCCTTTTGGTTTTCTGACGCCAAGATTTTACCTTTTTTTATTACAATACTTTACCTTGACTTCTTGAGTTGCCCTTTGAAATTTCCGTTCCTCTTATATTTCATCCTTCTCTCCAGTCACTTTAGATTCCCTTTGTCTAGAAGGAAGATCCAGCGTCTCTTCTGCCATCCATTTTGAGTTTTTCTTTCTTTCTTCTTAAAATGACTTTTAGCTTTCCTCATATATCAGCATCTTAATGCTAATCCACAGCTTGTCTGATCCTCTGTCACTAGTGCCCTATTCTTGAGATGGTCAGCAGTTGAAAATCACCAGATACTCCATGTGAGAAAGATTGGCCTCCCCAGAAACCCTATATAAGGTTGCTAGAAGTAAAAATCAGCTTTATGGATTCAGTGGTTAATGACATAATTTATTCATGTCATTAATGTCTTCAGTGTTTCATTTTACTTTTGATGACTTCTATTTACTAGATTCATATTTTATCATTCCATGTTCTGATTATTTTTACAGCTAAAATAACAAAACAAAACAAAAAAACCCAATCCATACATCAATTGTATCAAGCATATTTGTACATATGCTACCAGCATTATTTTCTAAACATTTACTTTCTATCTGAGCCCTTGGTATCAGCACTTCTTTTTTCCCTCCCTGCCCCCTTCCCCCCTTGTGACCCTTGTGTAATGATAAATTAAAAATTATTATTATTTTTATATCTTACACTGACTGATCGCTGTCTTCCTTCCCTCACAGTTTCTGTTGTTCGTTTCCTCCAGGGATGTGTGTGTGGCTGTGTGTCCATTATTGTATCAATTCCCCTTTCCTCCTCTGCTGTGCCCACCTTCCTCCGACCATCCAGGTATCCCTACTCCATTTCTGTTCCTGAGGGGTTTATCTGACCTGGATTCTGTGCCTTGAGTTCCTATCTGTACCAGTGTACGGGCTCAGGTTTAGCCTGA